AATTAAGACCTTGTAGATGAGTTTACGGCCCTGGAAGGAGATTGGGCCGTAAACACACAATTAGAGGGTTTTTATGCCTTTAAACCCCTCCTAAACAATTTTGGGACTTAGATATGGCTAAATGACTTCATGGAATGGACATAGAACATTTTAGACATGGATTTTGAGGGATTTGAAGGAGTTTACAGCCAAGGCACATGCTTGGGCCGTAAACTCATATATATAAGGGGTTTTTATGACCTTAAACCCTTCCAAAACACTAATAAGGCTTAGGTGAATTTTAGAATATTGGTTTTAGCCTTAGAACACCTTAAACACATTATTTGAAGGATAATTGAGAGTTTATGGCCAAGACTTATTCTTGGGCCGTAAACCCTTCATTTTGGGGTGTAAACTCCTCCAAAGGTGTTAGAAAGCTACTTTAACACCCCTAAAGCCTTGGAATAATTTTTAGAAGTGCATACAAACAAGTTTTTGGCCTTAAAACATAATTAATCACACTTTAGGAGAGTTTACGGCCATGAGGGGGGTCTCATACGCCGTAAACTCCAAAACACCTCAAAAGTCCCATAAAAATTCATGTAAGGCCTTGGAACAATTTTAGCAATCACATGTGATTTGTTTGGAATCAATAACACAATTATTCAAGAGTATATATGAGTTTACGGCCATGAGTCCCATGCTAGGCTGTAAACTACCTTAAGTGTTGTCATTTGGTGATTTTTTCAATCCAAACCTTAGGTAAAATTATTCCAAGCATTTCCAAGTGTTAATATCCATTTGTGACACATTAAACACCATAAACCACCCCACCATGTGTTTACAGCCTAAAATCATGGGGAATGGGTGTTATGACCGAAAACTCCATTAGGGAGTTTACTCTTGGGGAGTAAACTCAAATTCCAAGTCCCTAGTGCCATTACACGTCCTTAAGCGCCACCCGGGTCCTTCCAAACACTTGAAATGGGGTGTTTTCGCGACTAAAAGTGTTTGTCCGTAACAATTAAGTAATCTAAGTCCTAATTAGACACAAATGTGTATCTTTTCATTTTACATAGGAATCTCATACGTTTGCAAGCCCCGAACCAACGTTTAACCTCCGAAATCGTCACATTTCTCGTCCGGTGAGTTCATACCCCTACGCTTTTTCTGTGTTTTTCAATGTTTTCAGGGGGGAATACAAGCAAACTATAACTGTTTTCAAAACTTAACATTGATGTGTTTCAAATAATATCTGGCAAATTTATAAATACTTTTACCCCTTATGTATTATGTTGAGCATAAGGGATGATTTATCAATTACAACTAAATGGATTTTAGTTAAGAAAATAACCAAACTAATCAAATTATTATGGGAATAATTTGGGTTCTTTAGTGTCCGTTTTTATCATGTACTAATATGCATATAAAGTTATTAGATAAACTATATTTTAATTCAGTTTATCTCCGTATCATTTGAATGTATTGCCAGATAGTTTCATTGTATGTATCTATATTCATTGTATTACGTTTCATAATCTTTTGTATGTTTGATATCGTATGAGAGCCTTGTGAATAGTTTAGTACTAGTCTGTGAGTTAGTCACTACCCTTTATGGATGATTAGTAAATCCTCCCCGGAAGTGTAACCAGAGTCTCCTGGAGGGAGAGCGAGGAATTTGTGAATAGATCTATTCGGGACTGACAATCCAACACCTTAACTGCTAGTTACAGTTAGGCGGGCACGCTTGGGGTGAAAATTTTCTGGATATAATTCGACATCTGACAAGCGTCAAGGAGGTCTCGTTGTCGTATCAACATGTTTACCCGACTCACAATATGTATTAATATAAGTTTATTCACAATATCATTTTCGGTTTGGTTTTGACCTTGTTTCGATTCCGTATCTACTTTTTATAAAGTATCTATAACTTGTATGGGATGTTTGTCCCATGGTTTTTAACTATATCTTATACGCGATAGTAATCCCATGGTTTTGGATCTATATCTATTACGGGATAGTAATCCCATGGTTTACACTTATATCTTGTCCGGGATAGTGATCCCATGGTTTTCAATTTATATCTATTTCGGGATAGTAATCCCATGATTTCGATCTATATCAAGTACGAGATGATAATCCCATGGTTTAAATCTATATCTTGTCCGGGATAGTAATCCCATGGTTCCCAATCTAAATTTTCATATATATCAAATTATCTTGTATCTAGTTCGGGATGGTAGTCCCATGGTCTTTAATCTGTGTTTTCATATGTATCAAACTATCTTATATCTCGTTCGGGATAGTGATCCCATGATTTTCAATATATAGTTTTGTGTATTAAACTATACTTTGTGATATACAATCGGTGTTACAATTAGGAAAATATAGGATTTTCCTGGGGTAAAATACAACATGTAATCGAATTGGTAACAAACGATAACTAAACTAACTTTACATAAGAATGTATGGTATTTTCTTGGATAACAAACCTTTTCGGAAAACTAAAGGAAATTGGTACATTTTCAGAAAAACAAACATCTTATGAACTCACCAGCTTTATGCTGATTTTCAAAATCGCTTGTATTCTCAGGTGCAAGTTAGACAGGTACCCGACGATATCTTTTAGTGAAGACGAAGTGCTCGGAAGACTCGTCTCAACTTTTGTTAATATGATGCATATGTATATCTTATATAACATTACTTTTGAAACAAAGGTAAATTTATATATGTAATGTAATCGTTGTTTACTTTACTTACTATGTGCATTAAATTTGATACTTAACGTGGAGTCCGCCCCGGAAACGTTTACGCCTTCGGTTTTCGGGGTGTGACAATATACCTCCTTTCGTAACCAATGACCAAATGTTTTAGTATGCTCTTGTTCTAGATGTGCCTTTCGTTTAGTAGGGTTTAGATGTTCCAAAAATTCTATGTGTCGTCTGTTAATACGTTAATGTTAATATTATTATAAAAAAACATACGTTTAAAAAACCTTACTTGATATATGGGAGTACTTCAGATGTACTTTGCAATACAATGAAATGTGCTTTGCTGAATAGTTCTGCAGAAACTTTTGCCGATTTAGCAGCTGATACAGGAGTACCGTCTGTAATAGAACTATTATCTTGTCACACCCCGAAAACCGAAGGCGGAAACATTTCCGGGGTTGACTCCACGTTGAGTGTCAAATCCAATGTACATAGTAAGTAAAGTAAATCAACCATTACATTACATATATGAAAGTTTTACATATGTTTCAAAAGCATAAGTTATACAAGTGATACATAGTATATATGAACAACACGAAACGAGTCTTCTGAGAATTCCGTCTTCACACAAAAGGGTCTTCGGGTACCTGTCTAACTCGGACCTAAGAATACAAGCGGTTTGAAAATCAGCATAAAGCTAGTGAGTTCATAAGCGGTTAGTTTTTCTGAAAATGTACGAGTTCCTTTGGTTTCCTGAAAAGTTATTATCCAAGAAAATCCCATATTTTCTTATGTAAAGTTAGTTTCCAAATCCAAAAGTAAAGTAAACGATGTCTAATTAAAACATGATTGTTCTTGAGAAATGTAGTTCAATTGTTTAACTTATTACACTTATCTAATTTCGTACCACTATTACTCAGGAAGAACCCCATGTTCTCCTGACTGTGTGTGAGTGAACTGTTACTAGTTCTGACTATGTTTGGTGTCCTTCCCAGGAAAACCCCATGTTTCCCTGACTGTGTGTATATCTTTACTGGTTTTGGTCATGTTCAGTGTTCTTCCCGGGAAAACCCCATGTTTTCCTGACTGTGTGTGTGTATCTGTCATCCCTAGATGTACATTAGCTTTACTACGTACATAAAGCTAGTAAATGAGTTTGAAACGTTAATAATCTAGATTGCGAGTCCTTAACCATACTAAGACTGGATATGACTCGGACCATGGTCAGTATCCTTTTTATCACTTTTGTCACCCATGAACCATTCGGTTCGGCTATAGCTAGCAGCCAGGTGTGGGATAGTTAGTCCCGTATAGATCTATACACTCAAGCCACGCTCTCCTACGAACGGAGATTCTGGTTAATGGGTTAGTCCTCCACTATCTCGTGCCATGGAAGTGTTACAAGGACGTGTCTCCAATCATTAAGATTACTCTTTACTTTTCGACTAAGAAAGTAGCCGTAAACTTCCTAATTGAGTTTATGGCCTAACCACCCATTCCCCATGAGTTTACAGCCGTAAACTCATGGTGGGGGTGGTTTATGGTGTTTAATGGGTCATATAGGGTCAATACCACTTGGAAATGCTTGGAATAATTTTACCTAAGACTTGGATTGAATTAAAATCACCAAATGCAACACTTAAAGGAGTTTACGGCCTAGGCATGAGTTATATGGCCGTAAACTCTCATATCTCTTAGAATAAGTGTTGTTAAGCCCCAAAATTAATCAAATGTGATTCTAAAAATTCTAACAAGCCTAGAAATCAATTTTGGGCACATTTGACATCCTTATAGGAGTTTACGGCCATGGGGCATGTTCTATGGCCGTAAACTCTCAAATGTGGGATTTTGATGTGTTTAAAGCCCTTAAACTATTTTTGGTTGGTTCTATGATTTATTCCAAGGCTTTTGGTGGTGTTGGATGGCTTTCTAACACCTTAGAAATGAATTTATACCCATTTTTGGGGAGTTTACGGCCCAAGCACATGCCTTGGCCGTAAACTCATATAAACCTCTCAAAATTTATGTTTGAAGTGTTCTAAGTCCAATTCCAATATTCTAAAAATCATATCTAAGTCTTGTTTGTATTTTGGAAGGGTTAAATGGCTTAAAAACCCTTCAAATATGTGTTTATGGCCTAGGCAC